GGTTGCCTGATATACTTATTGTAGCATTTAATCATCACCTCAACCATATGAGATAGGTACAATTATTGTCTCTGTTTTGCAGATGGGAGAACAAGTTCAGACAGATTAAGGAGCTTGCTTGAAGATTCACAGCTAGTAAGTGGAATATTCAGGATATAAACCCAAATTTGTGGCAACCAGCACCTTTTAGGAGTTAATTACATAAGGAAATGACAGTTTACTTCACCTTTCAGGGGGAGCACTGGTACTGAATAGATGAGTTTAAATTGTTGGAAGTGCAAATTCTTGTATATGGCACTCACTGGGAGTCAAGAGGTCTCAGAATGCAGGCTGGCCTCAGGAGTGAGAGCAGCTCATGCCTTTGTTCTTGAGCCATGACTAATGGCCTGTTGAAAAGTACAGCTGATCTTTCCACTTCCCATTCCTGGTACAAATATATATATTTCACATGAAGTAGCAGATCTAAGATAAACTATGGAAGGAAGTTCTTAAAAAGTCCTCCTGTTACTAGAATGTAACTGTGCCTGGACTCTATAGTTGTGTCTCTGTTCTTCTGTTGCCACCCAACCAGGTTCATTTGCCTGCTGCCCAAGAAGCAGCCAATATTCTGAGCCAGTAGGTTTTATGGCAGAAAAATATTCTTTATTCCGCATAGCGCTAAGCAGGGAGACAGGAGAAATTTCTCAAATCTGCCTCCCTGAGAATTCGAGAATTCAGGAGACAGGGTTTTTAAGGATAGTTTGGTAGGCAAGGAATTAGGCAATTAGGTTCGTTAATTGGGACAAAATTATAGGGATGTAGAAATCATCTGCTTGTGGTGTTTCAGTCCTGGGGTCACAATTCCAGTTGAGTCAGTTTCTCGGTATGGGCCACGGGTCTGGTTGGGTCAGTCAATCCACTGAATGCCAGACCTGGCAGATATCTTAAAAATTACCTTTAGGTTTCGAAAAGGTGATGTTATCTATGGAGAAGTTTAAGAATCTTTATGGACACCAGCAATGGGGAGAAGTGAAGAATCTTTATGACCACCAGCTGTGTGGCTCTTGAGTGGCAATTACAGGGGGATAGTTACTAGTTATTATTTTTAGCTAGACCCTTACCACAGTTCTCGCCTTGCACCCCTGTTATTGAAGGGCAGTTTCACTTCCACAATAAATATTTAACAAGTACCCACTAAGTGCCAGGCATTGCTCTAGGTTTGCAGAGGGGGATAAGACACACAAGGGCTGTGCTTGCATAGGGCAGGGACTGGGTAGGCTGAAAGTGAAAACATGAACTCTATCAGACAATAATAAGTTCTTTGCAAAGATTTAAAAGTGTGGTGGCCTAGTAGAGTGTGAAGGGGTAGCTACTTTAATTGCATGGTCAGGAATGCCTCTTTGAAGAGGGTTCTCATGTGTTGCTAGTGTTCACAAGTCAAAATGTCAGTCTTTTTCTTTTAATGTTGTATAAATCCATTACCTAAGTGAAATTTCTCACAATGTTGCTTAAGTTGATATGTCATTGTTTGGGGAGCAACATTTCCTGGTGGGTGGGAATCCCACAAGTGTTTAGATTCTTATAGTTAAATCCTCCAAAAATAGTTATTTCAAGGTAATCTACAAAGAAGTAGGAGTGTGAAGTAGGTTCACTGTATGCCACGAATACTTCCTGACTAAATGCAAGATAAAGCTAATGCAACTGTGTGTTATTGATGATGAACATGATTTTAAATGATGAGCATCTAGCTTGGAGAAAGAATGCCCAGAGAGGCATTTTATATTAACATAACCTCAGGCTTCTCTGTTAGGGACAGAACAGATCTAGCCTATGTTTTCTTTCTCTACCACATAGAAAACAAAGAGGGCAGCAATTAGTATCTTCAGACCATGGTAAAATAAACCCGTCCCAAATGTAAAGTAAAGCTGGTCCTATTGAAAAGCAACAAAGAGGAAGGCTGACAGGGACAATGTGTAATGTGCCTACTTGGATGTCAAATCACAGGGTGCAGATCAAAATAGAACAGCTGTTGAGGGCTGTCTAGTCATATGCTGCTTAGAATTTATGAGAAAAGGCACCAAGGTCTGCAATTAACAAAAACACTGAGTGTATAGCAGATTGGACTGCCCTGTTGAGAGGTAGAATTCAGTCTCTAAGTGTGTTCAACTATACACATTCTAAATGAATGGATGAAGTGGCTAGTTGTTTTTTTTTTTTCCTGTGGCAAGTCTGGATGTTAAGTTGTATCTTTCAGGAACAATATTTCCTGATAGATTTTGAAAGCCTGAGAAATGCTGTTTTCCTCAGTATTCTAATATGCATTTCCATATTATCATATCTGCTATTTCTATATCAGCTTGTGTAACTGTTGAGTCATACCTAACAGAAATATACATATGAACCATTTATGGAACAATATTCTGTTCCATTGGTCTATACGCCAGTACCATATTGTTTTGATTATTGTAGCTTTATACTACGTTTGAAATTGGGAGGTAAGAGGTCTCCAGCTTTGCTGTTTTTTCTTAAGATTGTTTTGGCAATTCAGGGTCTTTTATGGTTTATATAAATTTTAGAATTATTTTTTCTATTTCTATAAAAATGCCATTTGGATTTTGATAGGGATTGCATTGAATCTACAGATTGTGTTGGGTAATATGGACAATATTAAGCCTTATAACCCTGGAACACAAGATATCCCATTTATTTGTGTCATCTTTAATTTCTTTCAGCAATGTTTTATCATTTTCAGTATATAATTCGTTCTCCTCCCTAGTTAAGTTTATTCTCAAGTATTTTATTCTGTCTGATGCTACTGTAATGGGATTGTTTTCTTAATTTCCCTTTTTGGATTGTTTGTTGTTAGTGTTCAGAAACACAATTGATTTTTTTTTTTTTTTTTTATGAGACAGAGTCTCACTCTATTGCACTGACTACAGTGCTGTGCGTCAGCCTAGCTCACAGCAACCTCAAACTCCTGGGCTCAAGCGATCCTGCTGCCTCAGCCTCCCAAGTAGCTGGGAGTACAGGCATATGCCACCATGCCCGGCTAATTTTTTTCTATATATTTTTAGTTGGTCAATTAATTTCTTTCTATTTTTTAGTAGAGATGGGGTCTTGCCCTTGCTCAGGCTGGTTTCAAACTCCTGACCTTGAGCGATCCTCCCACCTGGGCCTCCCAGAGTGCTAGGATTACAGGTGTGAGCCACTGCATCTAGCCTTCTGCTGGTTATTTCTATTTTTGTCCGCAAATCAATGAGGATCTTCCCATCCTAAAATGTCTTTCTTCAACCTATTATGCTTTCTCTGTTCCTTCACCACATCCATGAAGAATAGTCTTTACTTGCCCCACCTTTTCATTTTTCTCATTAAAATTATGATTTTTGCATGTGCAGAAAAGCATTAACATAGGCCAAAGGTCTTTAGAAGGGCCTGGTTGTAAGGTTGGCCCTTGGCTGGAGCCTGGGAACTTGGCTTTTGAAAAATTCTCTGCTTCTCAGATAATACCATTTTGCCTGCTAAAGCATTAAATACCTGTTTTCTTTCTGGCAGTCTGGAATTTTGATACTTACACCTGGTCTGTGTTCTCATGTGACCTCCCTATAATAAAAATCCTTAGAGTCTGAGTCTGAAGTGGGCTTCTCTGGGCACAAAAACTGCATAAAACATAGGAAGGTTGTGTACAGATTCCTTCAGTCTCCATGTGACATCTTTTCCCCTTGCCAATTTCATTGTGTATTCTTTCTCCATAATAAACTATAACCTCTGAGTCCTGAAAGTCCTAGTGAATTACCCAATGGGTGGACAGTTGTGGGACTTCTGAAAGTGTCTTTAATTGCTACCCTCAATTAAAACTGCCCTCAAAAGTCTGATGTATTCATTAAGTCTAGTAGCCTTTCTTTAGTCCATAATATATATTGACAATACTCTTGCTTCCAGAAACTCTTTGGCTTCCATAAGACATTCTACCCTGGCCCTCCTCACACCTCATCTATTCATTCAGCATTTACTGAATGCCTGTGTGTGCCAGGCAATGTACTACATATATATTAGTGAATGAAAAGTTATGGTGCAGCATACGGTCTAGTGGCAGATGACAAAAAGCAGATGGTACAAGCCGAGAAAAGTACTGTGACATGAGTGATTAAAAAGGGATGCACTTCAGTAGCGTGGTCTGTGTACAGAGTATTGAAACAGGAAAGCCTGCTTGGTAAAGAACAAGAAGCAGTGCATTATGGCACAGAATAGTTTATGTGCAAATGCTTAGAAAAACTGCTTGGCATCTTCTAGAATTGGAAAAGGACCCTGATGTGGCTGTAGAACCATCAGAAGTAGGAGAGTAGAGAAGATGAGGTTGGAGGGTAACAAGGTCCTGGTCATTTAGAGCTCTGAAGGTCCTGTTTAGAACTTTAAATTTTATTTTATTGGGAAGCCAAGTGACAGATGTCTTTTAAAAAGATCGTTGTTCTTGGATTAAGGAGGTATAAAAAGAAGGGGAGAGCCTAATTACTAAAGTGATGTAGGTGAAAGATGATGAAGAACTCGGTCTGAATGATGGCTGGGGAAATGGAAAGAAGTGATGGACTGGGCCGGGCGCAGTGGCTCAGGCCTGTAATCCTAGCACTCTGGGAGGCTGAGGCGGGCAGATTGCTCAAGGTCAGGAGTTCAAAACCAGCCTTAGCAAGAGCGAGACCCTGTCTCTACTATAAATAGAAAGAAATTAATTGGCCAACTTATATATAGAAAAAATTAGCTGGGCATGCTAGTGCATGCCTATAGTCCCAGGTACTTGAGAGGCTGAGGCAAGAGGGATCACTTGAGCCCAGGAGTTTGAGGTTACTGTGAGCTAGGCTGACACCACAGCACTCACTCTAACCTGGGCAACAAAGTGAGACTCTGTCTCAAAAAAAAAAAAAAAAAAAAAAAAAAAAAAGAAAGAAAAAAAAGAAGTGATGGACTTTGAAATATGGACTTCTGCAAGGTTTTAACCTCAATTTTCTTATCTTTCCTCTTTCCTTCAGTGATTATCTCAACTGCCATAACTGTCATGTCTGTGTGGAAGACTCTAACCCTATGATCCTACCTGATGTGAGCCACTGTTTCAACTTTTCAAAGGAATAATGATTACATTTCAGAAATTTAAATAAGTGTGGAGCCATAATGCCTGTCACTTACTATCAGAGTGATCTTGGACCCCAAATTATTTCACTTCTCTGTGCCTCAATTTCTTCATTTGTAAAATGGTATTAATACACTTTCATGAGTTGTGAGTATTATATAATAGATAAAATAACTTGGGCCACTAGCCTGCACACACAAAATGACTGATCAATCAGTTCCACCTGCTGGACTCCATGATTCCGCTGCCTTCATATGTTCCAAGTAGAACTGCCTCCAGCACTCAATCTAATACCGTGTTTCCCCAAAAATAAGACAGGGTCTTATATTTATTTTTCCTCAGGAAGACACTCTAGGGCTTATTTTCAGGGGATGTGTTATTTCCCCCTCAAAGCCTCAGCTTGCAGCATGCACAAGATGGCCGGGACCTGACAGGGGGAGCTGACCTTGTTGGTGGGGCTGCCCATACCTTTCTGGTCACCTCTGGGATAGTAGCTGTCACGATGGGGCAGATGAGAAGGGCTGCTGGTCTTCTTTACCACTCAGCACCAAAATGCATGGGTTGTGCAGATACAGTGCATAGCCACGCCCATCACTAGGTCTTGTTTTCGGGGTAGAGCTTCTACTGCGCAAATGCTTAGAAATCCTGCTAGGGCTTATTTTATGGGTAGGTCTTATTTTCGGGTAAACATGGTAATAGTTCTTTCTCCTGACAAATCCATTTGTATTAATGACACTGGATAGAGATTCCAAATGACAGTCACATTTGACTTCTTGCTCTCAATTCCCTTGCCACACTCCAAGTAGAAAACTAAAATTAGAGATTGCTAGTATTATTTTTACTTCCATCTACACGTAAGGTGAAAGTATGACCTCTTTTATTTGTTCATCAATGAATATTAAAATTGAGTACCTATTATGAGAGCCAAGGTACTAGGTTCCTATTAAATTCTAATCTTTTGTCCCTCAATTACAATTTCTGCCATTTGAATTATGAAGGACTATATTTGAACTTCATCAACAATCTATTGCTAGGAAATTAACAGAAATCCCTCTAAGTAATCAAAGTGGAGTTTTGAAAGATCCTCAGTAAGCAAAACAAATGAGACCATTGAAAAATATCTAAGCGCACTCTAGTATGTCAAGGTTACTGACCATACCGGTTCAACTGTGGGTACAAAAAGGGTTCAAGGGCAGTGATATCAAAGCTTTGGATTAAGGAAAATAGTGCAAGCTATCCAACCCAAGGTTGGCAATAACATTAGACAATCCTGCACTACATCTGTATGCCTTTTAAATGTTACTGAAATAGGTGGCATCTATTAATAGTGTACTTACTTAGGTTCTGATTTTGAGTATCAAATATTAAATTAACTGACTTCTGAAGTTCTTCCTTTTCACGGAAATGTAATTATAATTGGTTTTAGAACTCTTCTTCTGGGTCAAGATGGTCTAAATTCTGTAGGCATCAAGGTCTGACAGAGGTTAGGTAGTAAAACAGGGAATCAAAACATTAAGTTAAAGATAATATAGACACAGGCTGTGCCCTTACGGCACATAATCATGTAAAACTGGATGATACTAAAGAATTTATTGTAAATGTAGTGGCAAATACACTGAGAATCATCATCATTAAAAAGGAACTAGAAAATTACACATGTTTAAAGTATGTGCTTTCCCCCCCCCCACCTTTATGTTAATGACCAGTACCAACATTTTAAGTAATGAAATACTTAATGGGATGTCCATTTTCACATAATTTCATGACTGCATCTTCATCTTAATTTTTAAAGCAGTTGACCATGGAATTTTAGTTTCAATTAATATTCTCTGTTTTTATTAATTCCGTAATGATTTGTAGAATCTTGTCATCTGAGTGGAAGAAAAAAAAAAAAGCCATGAGTAACTGCAACACTGGCTAATTTTCCAATGTATACACATGTAAATAAGAGGTATACGTCATTAAGATTTTCTTAAATTAGAATACAAAATTAACACCAGCAATATTCACTTATTATAAAGCTAGAGACACCTACAAAATATTTTTGTCCTATAAATATTAATTCACTATAGTTATATTACACCCACTTCAACAAAAAATTAACATTCTGAAAACAGTTAATATCTGAGGATGTTAAGGCCCAAAGAGATAATATGATATAAATTGTTACTTCTTTATAAGGAATTATTTCTTTAAAAATTCTTTTAAGACAACAAGTTTCCCAATTTTTTCACCTGCTTAAAATATACTGAAGGCTCTACTAACCCTTCAGTGTTCTTGAAGAGTATGGCAGGATTTCCAAAGTATGTGCATGGAGGAAAGAACTGTTATCAGATGTTTCTCCATATTTAGTCCAAAAGAAACAAAAAATTCTAACAGGGAAGTGCTCTCAGAGAGGTGTCAATGGGGAAATGATGGACCTCTTTGCACAACAAAGGAATCAAACACCAACTGATTTGACAAACAGAACAACAGAGACCACATTATTTGCTAAGGAAGTTTTGTTAACAGAGCTTCTACTTTTCAACAGTCGCTCTGAAATTGTGACTTCCTAAGAACCTCATAACCACTCTTTAGATAGTTATGAGGGCTGTAAGACTGAAATTCTACATTGATATTAGATAATAGAATGCTCTGGGCTTCAACAGTAGCAATGGGAATTTTGATAAATGGGTCCCTGGCCTGACACTCAGGTTCTTGGGGGGCTACAGTTGCATTAGGGGGGAAAAAAGGGTGGGGAGAAGAAAGGTCTCTTGTCTGAAGTGGAACAATGGCAGGTCTAGAAAGAACTATGAACAATGCTCAAATTTTTTTTTTTTTGAGACAGGGTCTCACTCTGTTGCCCAGGCTAGAGTGAGTGCCATGGCGTCAGCCTAGCTCACAGCAACCTCAGACTCCTAGGCTCAAGCGATCCTCTTGCCTCAGCCTCCCGAGTAGCTGGGACTACAGGCATGCGTGGCATGCCTGGCTAATTTTTTCTATATATATTAGTTAGCTAATTAATTTCTTTCTATTTATAGTAGAGACGGGGTCTCGCTCTTGCTCAGGCTGGTTTTGAACTCCTGACCTCGAGCGATCCGCCCGCCTCAGCCTCCCAGAGTGCTAGGATTACAGTATGCTCAATTTTTTTAAATCTCTTTTTCCCCCCATGGCCAAAAGTTCAGAAGTAAAGTTTAGAAGAGATAGGAATAAACTAAATGAATCTTAGGAGGATAATTAGCTTGTGAATAATCACACAAATTACCTGATTTTGGTGCAATTCAGAAAATAGATTTTATGAAAACAATTTTTAATCACACGGAATTTAAGATTTCAATGTGCTATAGTATACTCCAATGTTTCCAAGAAAAATCACAATTTCTACAGTCTTTCAGACTTTCTCTTAATAAGTTTTTCCACACATTAATACATATATGTATGTGTACCTACGTATACATATGTACATATATATACACATATACTGTCTTTCACCTACATTACAATCAAATACTTACTTTCAAGGGACATCTTTGGATTTTCAAGCTTTTTTCTTAAAACAGAATCAATGAGAACTCTTAGCTGCTTGAAAATGACGGCTATCTTTACAGGGGCCTGTTGAGACGAGATGTAAAATTGGACAAAGTTAACCCAGGACAGTGTGAATGTGTTTAAATAAATCAAGGCAAGCGTATATACCTTCCAATTTGCCATAGCACATCTTGATTTTAATATAAAACACAATAGGGAAAATAGAGACAAATTATTTCTGGTAGCTAAGCTATGTAAACCTCTTGATTACCTTATTAAATGTGACGACTCTTTCCAAGGTTGTTAGGATATTAGATTTGAGATAATCCATAAAGTTAACTATTGAAGCAGTAAATTATAAATAATAGTAAATTAGAACTGTTATTGATGATTACAATTTATAATAGCAATATAGTTTTGTTTTATTTTTTAGAGACAGAGTCTCACTTTGTTGCCTGGGCTAGAGTGAGATGGCCTAATCACAGTTCACTGCAACCTCAAACTCCTGGGCTCAAATAATCCTTCCTGCTTCAGCCTCCCACGTAGCTGGGACTATAGGCATACATTACCACACCTGGCTAATTTTTGGGGTGGGGGTAGAGATGGGGTCTCACTATTGCCCAGGCTGGTCTCGATCTCCTGGCCTCAAGTGATCCTCCCACCTCAGCCTCCTAAAGTGCTAGGATTTCAGGCACAAGCCACTGTGCCCAGTCTAATATTTTTAAAGAGATGGGGTCTTGCTATATTGCTCAGGCTGGTCTTAAACCCCTGGGCTCAAGTGAGTAGCTGCGACTATAGGTGTGTAATACCACAACCAGCATGTAATAGCAATATAATTTGATTTTCAAATTTTAATAGATTTAAAACCATATTGGCACGACAAAATAAGGACGTCTTCTACCTTAACTAGGTCATGTTATAGTAAGAAATTATGCAAACTCTAATAAAATTTTTAAAATTCTACTTCAATAATATTAGAAGTTGAAAATTTTTCATAATCCGTAAAATCAGTTGTACTATGTACCTGAAAATAGATCCAGCCATCAACAGAAAGAAGACGTTCTCGGTGTTGAACTTCTATATCACCACCAAAAAGTAAAACTGGAAAAGGGGTTATTAAGGTAGTTTCCCTCAAATATACTCTGGCATACCTCACCTACATAGGAAAAAAAGGGGGAGCGGAAAGAACTTCAAAGTCTAAAAATATAATAAATTCATTTATCTTTTTCATGTAAGCATTTTTCTATAATTTGTTCTACATTTTAAGCTATAGGTTTTTGTGAAGCTGTGTGTTTTCATTCTCTTATGTGCACAATTTGTCCATTTTGTAGTAACTGCTATTACTACCTGTGCATTTATACTATGAAAATGCATTTTAAATGTTTGTGAGGCTAAATTATATATCTTGAACATAAATAAAACTAGGTACAAGCAATTTTATAATGCTAATGATCTTAAATAATGTTAAAATTATGTTATGTTTAAATTTCCAAGTTTCTGGTTTTTAGACCAGTGTTCAGCTGTGGCTATCTGTCAGTAATTTCTCATGTTTTCCTTTTAAGTTTGATGATATGTTGGGTGCTTGAAATTGTGGATCTTTGTTACTTTAAAGGTCAAGAAACATAATGGAGGTACTCTTTTAGTAAAGGGAGAAGAAATATGTTTCAAATTGACATGTTTCCTTTTCTTCTCATACTGTCCTAAAAATGAGTGAATGAGATAAGCAACAAAAATCCAAAATATGAACAAGAGAAAATGCTATCTTGGCCTTCACTGTATATTGAAATATAAGAAAACAGAGTGGCAATGCAGTTATAATTCAAAGGTTAGCTGTTTCAATTGTAATCTATAAATATTTGCTACTAAATTATCTTAGGTGATACTGTGACTCAAACTATTGCAGAATCATGCACATTTCTACCCCATCCAATTTTCTCTTTATTTGGAAATAGCACATAAAACTTGTCTTTTTTTTTCACTTTTGAGATGTCAGCATCTTAGTAAAATATTCAGGGAATCAATACATTCTTAACCAACAGCTATTTGCTATTTTTCTTTTTATTCCAAGTAGAAAAGATGATGGTCAGAGTAAAAATGTTACTTTTTTTTTTTTTTTACAGAGAAAGAGTCTCATTTTGTCACCCAGACTGGTGTGCAGTAGCCTAATGATAGGTCACTACAACCTCAAACTCCTGGGCTCAAGGGATCCTCCTCCTGCCCAACCTCCCATTACAAGTGCATGCCACCATGCCTGGCTAGTTTTAAACATTTTTTTCAAAACAGATGGGGGTCTTGCTTTGTTGCCTAGGCTGATCTCACACTCCTGTCCTCAAGTGATCCTCCTGCCTGCCTTAGCTCCCTAAAGTGCTGGGATTATAAGCATGAGCCACCGCACCTGGCCTTTATTTAAGATAAATAAGCATTTTTTTGTTTAAGAAACTATGTGCATCTGGATTTCAGATATGAACAAAAATGAACAGCTCAATTTGAGAACCAAATAAAATACTTATTAGGGCATCCTAACTTGTTATGAATGACTTATAGAATAATGCCCTGAATAGTGGAATTTAAAAATGAGTACTTTACCTTCTCTTGGTATAAAAGCCATCCATAGGTTTGTAAATCTCTATTTACTGAAGATGGATGTACTTGTGCTTTGCCTTGGGCTGTTTCCACAATGCAAGCTAATTTTTCCGTAACATCAACTGACTTTGTATAGATTATCTTCCCCACGTTGTCATACAGTCCAGCAGCCAATACAGCTTTAAGAAGGGCAATTTCTTGGAAAGGGAGGGTCTGTGAGGCTCTGTTTCCTTCCCAGCTGGTAGAAGTTGTGGAAGATGAAAAACCCGCCGCCTTAACCAACTTTATCAACTCTTGCTTTACATCCTAGATTAGTTTATGTTAAAAAGAGAAATAATCATAATTGATTAAAATAGAGAAATTTCCAAATAACTCTGCACTTTATATTACTGTTTCCTATAAAAATTGACAGGATGTCGATTATTTAGTTAACTATAACCTAAATTAGTTTAGGGAAGAAAAATAAGACACCAAGAAGTCAAGAATTGGAGTCAGCTGTTCTCCCCACCCCAAGACTTGAAATGCCAAATATAAGACTGTCTAAAATGTGACAGCAATAAAAATGTGTCTAGACACATTTTCATTCACTACATCTACTTCAATAGTAGCTCTTTTGGGGACATTTTTACTCAGTGAGAATGGTCAATATTGAGAAAGAATTACAGAAAAATCTTTATCCTAGGCTGCAAGTATCTTCTTCATCTGCCTCTAGGAAGCTCAATTTCTTAAAGAACACTGACAAAGTTTATTAATGGCAACTTCATTTAACCTAAAATTGTCGCCTAAAATATTTTTCTACCTTTAGTAGTGCCGATCAGCAAAACGACTATAGGAAGGATGAGTATTTTTCAAAGTACACAGAATAAAAGCAATTAAAAGGTGACATTTACATGTAGGATATCCTTTGGGTTTTTCGTTTGAGTCTTAAGGGACTTTGATTTCAGGGGAGGAAAGACCAAATAGACAGCTGCTGTAACACCACAGGATTGGCAAAAGCATCTAAAACTTTGCACCCCAGAGAAGGTGCAGAAAAGCCTCACAGAAGGAAGGGTGTGGAAGGCAATTTGGAGGTTGGAGGGAACTAGAGAAGGGACAAAGGAGAAAGTGCTAAATTGAAGACATAGCTACCTCTGGGTCAACTGACTGGGATTTCCACATCTCGAATCCTAATCAGTTGGCCCAGAGTGGCTAGGTCTTCAACTTAGCCCTTTGTCTGCTTTGAGAAAAACAAAGTTCATTCTAGTTAGAGAAGTCCTTTCTGTCATCCCAGCAGTTATTTTAAATCACAAAAAGTAGTGGGTTAAATTATAAGGGAAAAAAAATTTTTTTTTTTTTGAGACAGAGTCTCACCTTCTTGCCCAAGCTAGCGTGAGTGCCGTGGCATCAGCCTAGCTCACAGCAACCTCAAACTCCGGGGCTCAAGCAATCCTACTGCCCCAGCCTCCCGAATAGTTGGGACTATAGGCATGCGTCACCATGCCCAGCTAATTTTTCTATATATATTAGTTGGCTAATTAATTTCTTTCTATTTATAGTAGAGACGGGGTATCGCTCTTGCTCAGGCTGTTTTTGAACTCCTGACCTAAAGCAATCCGCCCGCCTTGGCCACCCAGAGTGCTAGGATTACAGGCGTGAGTCACTGCGCCTGGCCGGGGGAAAAAAATATTTTTAACCTTTTAAAATATGAGTATAGAATAGAGGAATTATGTGAGAGATCTATTAACTTTATTTTCTGCACTTTAATAGCGTATCTATATTAGACATCATTTCCATTTAAAGAAATATCAATAAAAACATAAAGATCATGTTTGTGAAGGAGCACTTTTTTCACAATCACTTGTCTTTACATTTTAACTACACTTCTACTATCTGTCTTCCCAGAAATAATCCTGCTCATTAATGGCAACCTGAGCAATGGGCAAAGGGATCTTGTTTCCCTTTCTAAGAGCAGACTGATAAACTGGGTCATAACCAGCCACAGGGTATGAAGCCTTGGATGCCTTTTCATAACTAGCCATCCCACACTGTAACCAAGTAGCTGGCCAATATTTATGAACATATAAAAGAATTTCATTAAAAGGAATCAAGGCTCTTTGTAGAAATGACTGATTCCAAGTGTGGAATACAAAATGCACAAGATATGTCTGAACAGCTTGTCATACCCAAAGCAAGGAAGCCATGAAAGGTTGCTAAGGTTATGTGAAAAGGACTCAGGGGCCAACTTGAAGGGGCTCTCACTTTCCAAGTAAGGGACAATCTGAGTTTTAAAAAATAAATATTCACAGAGAACTGAACCACACCAAATATGTTTAAATCAATAAGCTTATAATGATTTTTATAAAAAACATTCATTGATTACCTGTGGAGATATTTAGGAATCAACTCATTATGAAAACTGCTACGTAAAAGGAAAGAATCAAGCATTTATCCTAATTTTCTTATATGAACAATACCTCAGGGTATTCAAATATAAGGGAAAAGTTCTTTATGAAATAATTCTAGCTAATAATCAGAATTACAGTATCACCATTTTTCAACCCTAATGCAACAATGTGTCTGAGTGTTATCAATGGCTGCTAAAATCATTACATGAAAAGTCAATGGGGAATTTTATAGTGGATGAATCTGGCTGACCCCATTGAGAAATTTTAACATTACAAAAAGGGAGAAAAACTCCAAAAGAAAAATAAAAAATGAACCAGAATTAGATTAAAACCTCTTGATATAAACACCAATTTACAGGAAATATAGGGCACAGAAGAACACGTTAAACAACGTCACAAGGACACAAACCGCCATCTCCAGAATGCAGGAAATTCTATATGACAACATACCTGGTTTCTTCAAAAAAACAAATGACAATTAGGAAAAAATGAGAGGGGGTAACTACAGATTGAGATTCAAGGGACACAGCAACCAAATTTAATATGTGGGCCTAGCCTGGATCATGATTTGAACTAGCTGCTAAAAAAAATAGTTATGAGATAACTGAAGATATTTAAGCATTGCTAGTATATTTGATGATATTAAGGAATTTTTTTTTCTTTAGGTGTAATAAGGTTAAAGAAAAATGAATCCTATACTTCAGAGACACATAATAATCTGATGCCTTGGATTTGCTTCCAATTACTCTAGAAGGCAAAGAGTTGAATAAGGCAAGTATAAAATAAAACAAGATAGACCACAAGCTGATAACTATGGAAGTGGGAAATGAGTACCTGAAAGTCCATTATACTATTCTGTCTACTTTTATATATGTTTGAAATTTTTTTATAATTAAAAATCACAATCAAATTTCAGAGTTGAGAAGAACTATAGATTATATCCTCCAACTCATTTTTTTAAATGAAAAACTGAGACTTAAAGAGATTAACTATCCTTTTCCCCAAGATAGTGTTATTTTTATGAAATCATGTTGCCTCTTTTTAACTATTTCTTAAATATGTTATGATTGTTAAATACTATTTTTAATTGTGTAATACATAAAGGTTACATGTTGGAAGAAACAAAAAAAAATTCACAAATATATAATTTAATAAATATTAACTAAGCCCTTACTATATGTCAAGTACTATGCTAGGCATTCTTTTTTCTAAAATAAACCTATTATAGTTATCCATATGACTCTGAATTATGGAACTGTATGAAGAATTACCTCTAGTGTTAACAGTGATGTTCTATTAAGAAAGTTCCTCCGGCAATATGCAATTTCAGAACGATAGCCTCCTTCTTGACGTGCTTTCTTCCATCTAGATAAATAAAATGTTAATCAACGAACAAAGGTCACCACGTTTTCTCTGCAAACTCTCAGAGCTAGTAACCAAAGTTAAGATTTAAAAAAATTATGATCATTTAAAAAAGAGGAGAGGTCTTGCTTGTTGTTGTAGCAGCTACCCATTGTATATAAGAATTTCAACTGCAATAGATATTTTTTCTGTTTATGTGTAACAGTAAGTTATTATGTTATTACAAATATGAGATAATATACATACGATAATATCAAGTATATGGTTCTTAAATTTTAGGATTATAAAACATAAATCTCTAAACTTATTATACCTTGGACAGATGAAATAACTAAAAATAAATTAAAATCTTAGATGTATAATTTTAATGATAGTCAAAGATAAATTTTTTAAAAAGTAAATAACCTCAGGTCATTGGCTTATTGATAACACATAGATCATTTCTTTACCCTAGATATGCATTGTAGATCGTCAGATGGTCTGAATCTGCCATGGCCAAAGCTGACTTTGCAAGATCTGCTTCATCTTTTCGACCAATTGGTGTGGTAAAAGGAGACTTCTCTGTCATAACTGCGGCTAGTGTTGCCTATCCATAAATAAGCAAACAATTTGTCACTAAAGAGGTATACAAAGCAGTTAATTTGTAAAAGAAAGCATATTATAAAACAATCACACTTTAAGTTGCCTGTTCCTTATTTTCAGTACATTTATCATGTTCTACCATAGCTAATTTATAGTTTCATTTTACTTATTTACTTATTATTTTTTTGTTTTGAGACAGAGTTTCACTTTGTTGCCCAGGCTAGCTCACGGCAACCTCAAATAGCTGGGACTATAGGAATGCGCCACCATGCCCGGCTAATTTTTTCTCTATATATTAGTTGGCCAATTAATTTCTTTCTATTTATAGTAGAGACAGGGTCTCGTTCTTGCTCAGGCTGTTTTTGAACTCCTGACCTTGAGCAATCCGCCCACCTTGGCCTCCCAAGAGTGCTAGGATTACAGGCATGAACCACCGTGCCCGGCCTTATTTACTTATTTTTTAAGACACAGGGTCTCGCTCTATTGTCCAGGCTGGAGTACACTGGCATCATCATAACTCACTGTGGCCTCAAACTCCCGGGCTCGGGCTATTTTCATTTTAAATAGTTACTTTTCGTTTCATTTTATGGAATCTAAAAATATATCACTTTATTTTTATACCATTTATGTGAATAAGGAGGTAATATCACCAGAATCTGAGAAAAAAACTTAACATTTATGTAAGTGATTTATAGTCTGTCATATAGTTAGAGGTAATCTTAGTCCATTATCTTGATTCCTAGACTGTTGAATTTCCAGTGTCTGCAATGCTCTTTAAAAATAATTTGGACTACATAGCAACCCATTTGTTGTTGTAGGTTATCCGATAAACCATCATGAAAGAGGTTATTTTTTGAACTTGGGCACAATTCTGGTGAGTACCTATTTCTAATACTAAAGAGAAAGCCCAGAATAGTAAGTTACATTCTCTCCATTCTGTTTTTAATACAGTCTTAACTTGTAATCTCAGAAAAGGCCATAGCTTGATAAAATTGGAAAGTTGGAATGAATGGCACAGCAGGCATAAATGCCCAGAAATTCAGACATATGCACATAATTTGTTAATTCTGAGATAATTTGAGAAAATAGAACTCTGATACAATTACTGCCTCAGAAAAAGAACCCAGAAAAGGAAAAGAAAAAAGTTTTGATTCTATTTCTCAAAGTCTGTGGTGTTCAAAGCTTTCTGAGAATTGTCTACTACATATTCAATTAAATATTTTATGTGGGTTGTTTGATAGCAAAATTCTAGACAAGCCAAATTCACTTACAAAATAGTACCTACTGTACACTTAAGTAAATGGATGGATTTTCAATTATACAAATATAAAAAGTTAAATATTATATTAAAAAATTTTCATCAAGCATTTAGGTCCCCTGGGTTTTAATGTTAGTATAAACATTCTAGTAAGTTAAAAAACATTTAAATTAAAACTTAAACATTGTTTCCAAATTTAATAACTTCCTAGCCAAATGACATTTAAAGTGAAGTAGCAGCAGCATCGTTTGACTTACTACTGGGTCAAGGCAGCCAAATATGGCACCAAAAATAAGCATCTTGCCAATCTTGACATTCACAGGTAAAGCTGCAAGGTGTTGGCCCAATGGAGTCAGTTTAGGCTCATTTAGTTCACAAGCTCCAATTTTTCGGAGTAAATTCATTGCATTGCTGATTACTTGAAGCTGAGGAGGATCTAAGGCTTTAGAGAGGAAATCTTCAGGAGAACCAAGACTACATTTCTGCAGATTAAAAAATAATGATAAAATTGTTATATGATCAGAAACAACTACCCAAAGACATGATATTGGAACTAAATCTCAGTTCCGTAAAATTCTGAGCAAAGAGGATGAAACTGTGAATACGACTATCCTATTATTTTTCTTATAATGGAACGGGAAGAGGGAGAGAGAGTATGTGAATATATGTGTGTTTTTTGGGGGGAATGCATAAAGATGAGATCTTCCAACCCACATTTTTAGTTTCTTCATTCCTGATTTTTATAGTCAAAAACCTAAGAAATGAAGAGTATTATATATTTCCATTCTAGAAAGACCTTGGTTTAGGTCAGGGTTTCACAGTCTCAGCACTACTGATATTTAGGGCTGGATAATTCTTTGTTTTAGGGAGCTGTCCTATGTACTGTCAGATGTTTAGCAACATCCCTGATCTCTATCCACTAGATACCAGTAGTATTTTCCCCCTGCCCATTTATGACAATCAAAAATGTCTCTAGATATTGTTAAATGTCCCCTGGCAGGCAATATTGGCCCCAGTTGTGAATTACTGGTTTAGGTTATGAGGCCATATTCTAATCTATAAAGTATGAGTATATATGGCAAAATCAAAACACAGAGGATTTACTTATAAAAAGATGGAAAGGGACATACATTAAAGAATAAAATGCTTGAAAATGTAAAGCAATATAAGGTAAATAAATTTAGGTCTTCATTTTTTTTCTAGAAAGAAATGAAGAACAAAATTCACTTGCACCTCCCCCTAGGATTACCATAATATGAAGACATAATTCCTCCAAAGGTACGCGCAAAATTTCAGGAACAGAATAGTCCATAAAGCCTTCAAATCTGAAAAACAAAATAAAATAATACTAAATATACATTATCAGAAATGTCACACAGTACTGATTTATGGGCTTGAAATTTCCAGTGCTATGCCATACCTTTCTTTTGTGTACATTCGGAAGCAGAAGCCATCTCTGACTCTCCCAGCTCTACCCTGGCGCTGCAGAGCACTGGCTTTACTGACAAATGTCTCAACCAAAGAACTCATCTGACTGCTTTCATGGTACCTAAAGAAATATTTTAGGAGAGAATATGTAGATAATTGACTTTAAATCAAAATTGGAAAAAGCTGGGAATATGTGACTCTTAAAATTAAGTTGAACATAGGCTAAAAAAAGTTATTATAGTGGACCAACATTTCTCAAATCATATTTCATATTTAAATAATTTATTAAACAGCAAACATTGCATACTAAATCTCATACTACCAAATTAAATCTCTGGCACAAGAAAAAAATATACCCTTTTTGAAACTAATCTTATAATGGAATCTTTTTTATTTTAAAGGAATATCTATTAATTATACAATGAGAATTCTTTGAAATAATTTGAGAAATGCTACTGTGAACATCATAATTCAAGGTACCTTTCACAAGATACAGTTAAACCCTGAAAACATTTCCTCTAAAGGCACTATTCAAAGAATCAAGATTTTATTTTCTATGGACTATTCTTTTTCAAATATTGCTACAGTTTCCTAATATTGGGGATAGTATATGTGGATTATAATAAATTTCTGAAGGTGGTCTCTTCTATTTATACAATATAAACATTATAATATAGTAATCTTTCTGCTGAAGATTTAGTTATGGTTACCTATTATGTTCCAGTTACTATACTAAGCACTTTCAGAAATTAAATTTTCATTTTCCCCATTTACATATGAGGAAACTATGATTAGAGAGGTTATGTTATTTGCTCAAGAGATTTAAATTCAGCTCTGACTCCAAAACCCATGTTCCTTTTTTATAACCCCACAAATAATGCTTTTTCTTAAATAATTTATTTTACAAACAAAAAAGGATCTATACAAATTTATGTTCTGAAAATTTTCTCAGCATTTTTCTAAAAGTAGCAGTACACTGGCATTACTTCTATTACTTTCATGACATGAAATTCTGACATTTACTCTAAGACATTTTAAAGTTTCCTATAGTTTCTCTAAGGCTTCTTGCTTTGCAGAATTAGGACATTTGGGATTTTTCCTATATAAGTCTATAATTTCTCCTAAGAATCTAAGAAGCCCCAAGTTAAAAATGTTTTGATTTCAGAAATTCAAACTTACTTATTTTCTTTTGTTCTTCCAGTATCAATTACAAATACAACATCTGGAATAGTGATACCCGTCTCTGCAATATTTGTTGCTAAAACAATCTGAAAATAAACAAAAAGCTAAAACATTTAGGCAACTTTCAGCAATATACCATCATTTAAATTTCTTTAGATAATTTGAGGTGATGGATTTTTAAAAGTGAATTTCAATTTTTATTCACAAAAATTTAAAATCTATTTGCTATTGTATAATTTTAATATATTCTCATTAGTTTCATCAGCTCAGCTTGCTAATAAACATTATAGATTTTTATTGTAACAAAAATATCATTGCCCTAATTCTAGTCAGTCATTTTAAAAATGACAGAAGTAGAACGGGAAGCTGGGTCAGAGAACGGAGAGAGCTCAGCACAACCCTTCAAAATTATCAGGAAAAAAATAGCACATTAATGAGAAGAACTGGGTTGTTGTCCTGGCTCTGTTACTTATTAGCTTTGTGACTTGGGCAAGTCACTTTACCTCTCTGGGCCTCAACAGTTTCCTCAACTGTAAATTGGGAGGTAGAAATGGATGATTTCTTAGGTTTAGCTCTAAAGTTCTTAACGATGGATGAATAATGAGTGCAATCTTCTGCATTTTTTTGTATTGAATCCTTGGAGATAAACATTTAGGAAATTTCAGATCAAATTCAATATGTATTACTTTATTTCAACTGTGTAGTTCAATATTGAATGACTGCTTTTCTTACTCATTTATCCTAGGAAATGGAACCCAGATTATTATTAAGAGCTGCATGGGACCGATGTGATCATTCTACATCAGTAGTGTTCAAATTTTACTGGTAAGAGATGGAACTCTTCTTTAAATCAAATCAAACAGGAAAGCACAAATGTTACAGATCAGACCACAGCCTCAGAAACTCTGGAGTTCTTAGAGCACAGTTAGAAAGCCATCAGTTTAATCCAATCCCTTTTAAAGATAAGTGAGGTTAGGTGGTTGCCAAAGGCTATATACAGATGGCAGCAATTTAGGAACTAGAGCCCTGGCCTCCTGCATTACAGTCAGGTTGTTTCCAGATGCTTTGTGTTCCCCACACTTCCAACACTGTGCTCTTTTTTCTCCTGAGATAGGGTTCGAAATCTGAGAAACTCTAGGAGGCCCAGGAAGGAGGATCATTTGAGACCAGGAGTTTGAGACCAACTTGGGCAACATAGTGAGACACTGTCTCTATAAAAAATAGAAAAATTAGCTCGGTGAAGTGGTACATGCCATGTACTTAGAAGGCTGAGGCAGGAGGATCACTTGAAGCCCAGGAATTCAAGGCTGCAGTGAGTTATGATCATGCCACTGTCCCCCAGCCCAGGAGACAGAATAAGACCTTGTCTAAAAAAAAAAAAAAAAAATTCTGAGAAACTCCTTGCTAAGCAACTTTTCATTCAGAATCCTGAACAGAGAACACAATGAAAACTCTGAGATTTTTTTCCCTCTACCTAATGGTCTATGTACTATAAAATAATCAGGAATGAACAGCTTAGAGAACAAGAATCCACCCAGGACTTAAATAGCTTCTGACATCCAATCTCCTTCATGATGTTTTCATGAGAAAAAGTAGTGATTGATTTATTTATTTTTTTGCAAGCAACATCCATACCACATTTTTCAACTATCACTCCCCCTAAAAGTCTGGTTCCTCAAATAGCACATAATGTAAATATTCAAATTGCTTCAATTTTAATATTGAGTTTACTTCTCATTATGTTAACCTGCTTGGAGTCTGCCATGTCCTATATGGCACTTATTATTAACAACTGACTTTGATGATAAAAAGTCATAATGCTTTCATGAAATACTCTCAGGTGGATCACATTTAAGTTTGCTGTACTGAATTTTACCTTCCTGACTCCTGGAGGAGGGAGTGTGAATGCTGCAGCTTGATCTTGGGTTGAAAGAATAGAATGCAGAGCTATCACTTTATATCTGAAAGTTAAAATCATAGTTCTTAGCAAGAGTTTCTCTTTAGAAGACACTGCAAAGAACAACAAAATTTATTTGCATATAGGACACAACTTAAAATTTTTATTATGAAAAAATTTAAACACAAGATTTCACAGATGGTACAATGAAACCCCATATATATATATACCCATCATAGAGAAAAAAATTTAATATGAATAAATTATGTGAAATATAAGATTAAAAAATGTTCTAATGTTGAAGTGATAACCATTACAGCAATAATAAGCTATATCAAAAAGATGTAGTAAATAGCTGATTCAATACATATGGATGATAAACAGCAACCTTGCTGGGGTTCTGCACAATTGAGTGGGTTGGGGGAAGGGAGTCACCGCCTTACTCTTAATCTTAACCACACGATCTGCATATCATACTAAGAAAATGGAACAAATGCAGATATAGTACCTAAAAACTTTTAGTAGATAGAATAGTGAAATAGAGGCCGGGCGTGGTGGCTCACACCTATAATCCTAGCACTCTGGGAGGCTGAGGTGGGTGGATTGCTTGAGGTCAGGAGTTCGAAACCAGCCAGAGCAAGAGACCCCGTCTCTACTAAAAATAGAAAGAAATTAATTGGCCAACTAATATATATAGAAAAAATTAGCCAGGCATGGTGGTGCATGCCTGTAGTCCCAGCTACTTGGGAGGCTGAGATAGCAGGATTGCTTTAGCCCAGGAGTTTGAGGTTGCTGTGAGCTAGGCTGACGCCATGGCACTTGCTCTAGCAGCCTGGGCAACAAAGCGAGACTCTGTCTCAAAAAAAAAAAAAGGATTCTGAAATAGAAATGTAAAAAAGCAAAAAGAAAACTTGTTTGACAATGGACAATTTTATTTTGTTTTATTTTTCTTACGATGTTTCTCAGATCCTAAATTCCATGCAATGGACAATTTTAACTAAAGGTGAAAAGACTGAAAACTCTGATCATGAATTTTACTATACCCAGTGGTTTTCTATTTTAACACATTAACTGCCATGACAGTTGTATTTAACTCACTCTAGTTTTGATGCTGGGGCTACATGAAGCATATATAAAATCTTACTTGTTAATGTTCTTATTGTTACGATTAATATTGACAATTTAATTCTAAAAATGTGAGTTAAATGAATAGAAGTCAATAAATTTCATTTTTCTATTTATGTTACCTTTAAATTACACTTGAAGTTTTTATTCTATTACTGTAACAAAACACTGTGGTTCCAAGGAAAAACTTCTGGGTTATTTTTGTGGCAGACAATGTGTTAAAACTACCAGGAATAAAATGAAGATATATAGTTACCGTTCAGAATAAAATCTTCTATCATTTGACAGGAGATCATACAACTGTTGAATATGAGCAAGACCTGGTAAAAAGATCAGTACTGCTCCTTCAATATTTCTGAATTGGGGACTTTTGTCTGAAATTTTAAAAAAGATACAATATTTAAAATAAGGAACAACGCATAAAATATTAATAAAAGATCTCCCATTAGTAGAAATGTTTTATCAAAACAAATGGAGACACATTAGAAAAAGAAAGATACCTAAATATGCAAGAAGTTCCAAAATGAGATCCAGGTTGATTTTATGAGGATTCATGTAGAGAATAGCATGCTGAGTGCGGTTGCTGTACTTTTGGTAAAATGGATTTAAATCAGCATTTGCTCCAGTCTGAACTGGGATATATTCCT